TCACTGGAAAAGTTACATTGTGCACAGGTCAGATCCATGGAGAGGTGACCCCACTCACAATAAGACTTGATGTGTTTTCAAGGTATTTTTGAGCAATTAAAACACCCAAAATTAAATTAAGGTTATATAAATAGGTTTAATGCTATACTGCTGATGGCAGCGACGGAATCTCCATGGTAACAAGCAGCCGTAACGTCCATAACAAGACTGCATTAAAGAAACTTAAGTCAGCTTCAAGTTTTATGTACAAAGCCTTATATTACATGCTGGTCACTTGTGTAATTAGTAGTTCTTATGTGTGTACTTTATACTGTACTCAAGTACAAGTTTTGCAGTAGTACTTGATTAAGTAGATGTTTTCCTATGTAACTGTACATTTACTCACAGATTTTCAGTAGTTTTTTCACCATTTGAACCAAGAAACTAAAAGGAAGACCGAAGAGCTGATTGAACCATTGAATATACAGACTAAAGAAAGAGGAGGAGAAAGAAATGAAGACAGAAAATCAAACCTACACAAAACTATTTTCATGAAGTTTTACATTTGCCTTAAAGTGGGACTAAACACCTAAACTCCGCCCACAAACACATTTCAAATAGACCTGATAAACTGAGTTACCTGGAGGACTAAAGAAGAGAGTGAAAGGAGCGAGGGGCGGGGCTACGGAGTATAAGGAACATTTGATTGGTCTAACAGGCATCCACAAAACAAACTCCACCCCTATAGCCAGGAGTTTGTAAACAGAAACAACAGGCTGTAATCAGGGCAGTCCTGTGTGATGTCACATAGTACTTCATACTACAGAGGCCAGTGGAGTTCATGTTTACATATTTTTGACCAGATTATTAGCTAATTTGCTCTAAAATGACCAAAAAAAGCACTAGAAACAGTAAATAATACTATTAAAGATGCACTGTGTAACTTTTTTTGATTTGGGGTCCATCACCTGCTTGTTTTTATGGATATGTCATTGCTCGGTCTGGAATGTTAAACAGTATGACATTAAACAGCTCTACTTTATATTTCTTATGTGACAATTTAACATTATTTTCCAAAAAAGTCAGTTTATGTAGTAACTTAGCTCCATTCTCATTTTCATGTCAGTCATTTTGTGACATGTGCAGTACTTGGCTCCAGAGTCGACTTGGGCTTGGTTCCATATCCAGAAATGTTGGTCCTAGGGATGTTACTAATCTGGCAAAGTTTCATGCTTGTAGCATAAAAAATGAACAATTGGGCACTATTTTGCTATGAACCTGTGTTTTTACTACTTTTGAATGTCACTTTTTCTTAACTTTTGAGTTCCAGCCAAAATGTTTCAGTCAAAGTTGGCAAGACAGATCTACTGATAATTGAATGAATATAAAGACATTCTAGTTTCTTAAATATAATCTAGGTGGTAAAATGAATTGTGTATGTGTGTTACACTAATTCAATAAATGCATTACACATGAATATATCAAGACAATAGCAATTTTTTCCACTTAATCTGTTTATTTCTTTGTGTGTTTTTTGGAACCTAAATGGAGTATTAATTAATGTGACTCTCTTCTTTTGTCTGGTATTGGATGTAACAATCAGCAGTTTACTACCAACTGTCACCAGTGTCATGGAACAGGCTTGAAGAAGTTTTTCCCTCTGCCTGCTCCTTTTTTCAGGATCGCTGTGTTTTCTGTTAGTATGTGTTTATTTGAAACATGTTTCCTTGTGCTACACTGTGTAAGAGTTTGATAAAATACATGAAATGAAACAGAACAATTTAATTGCATGTGTTAAACATAATAGACAGGGACCAGCCGTATCAGATCCACACTGTTTGTTGCTGTAGACCTTGTGGATGTGTTTTTGCTCCTTTTCTATTTCACACTTAAACAAATATTATTAAATAGTATGCAAATGCTTATTTAGTTAATATATTTAATGAATGATGAGTGGATTTGTTTCTTTCACATTTTTATTCTAAAATTTTAAGAATATTTATTACCATATTTTCTGGACTATAAGTCGCTCCAGCCAAAAAATGTGCATTGAAGAAGGCAAAACATATATTACTCACATCAGACTATAAGTCACACTTTTGGGGTCAAATCATAGACCAGAAAGCAACATTTCATCTTGAAAGCCAAGTTATAGTAGGGCCTGGTCAAGCAGAAGTAAACAACAAGGCCAAAGTTAATGCATCTGATATAAAAATGTATTGAACAGATACATATGTACTCTAGTTTATGAAACTGTTGACCTTTTTTCTGTTCCATTTGGTTCTAAAGTTCCATACGTTTAAAACAGACCATGTTGAAACATGGAACAAAAATTATTCCCAAATTTCAAAGACCTGCAAATCATGTAATAAATGGATGTATTTCATCATATCTTGTGTATTCCATCTTTGAACTGCTCATAGGTACATGAATTTAAAAAAAAAAAAAAAAGTATTTAAAATGATAAAAATTTGCTTGGAAGGACTGACATATTTTATAGAAATAGTTTCCTTTGATTTTTAAGTAATATTGAAGTATTCAGTAGAAAAAAAGCAACAAATGATGTAAAATCATGCACCTTCTACTTGCTTGAACAATTTTCCCNCAGCTTCCTGTAATATGTAACACTTTGAGACCTTTTCACATTCAAAAGACTGAGTTTAAATTGTTCATCTCTATGGTGATGGTCCGACTTCTCATCATTCACAGATCTTCACTTCTGTCGACATAACTGTAAAAATCTGTTAAAATGAGCTAAATAAAATGTGTTTTAACTTGAGCTGTTTTAGATTTCTGACTGTTTTCACTGCGTAGTTTTCTTATTTCAAAAAGATGTTATTTTGTCATTTGGTAAACACATGAATACATCTTTTTTTACTCTGACACTAAATATTCTGTATATTTATGGTTTGAAATGTTATGTTGAGAACAACTAAGATGCGTTTTTATCATGATGAAAACTGTAAACAAGGTAAAACTCTTACTGCAGTCAGAATGGAAGTATTTCTATCAAATACACATAAATATGAGAGTAAAAACGGCACATGGAATCACACGGGTCTTTGACTTCTGGTGGAGTCCAACTATTTGAAATGCCATTGTTTGTGTGGTTTGTGCAGAGTTGTGTGTTGTGTACCTGTGTCTGTGAGCTCGTGTCTGTCCACCTCCCAGCTCACACTGGCTCCCTGTGGAGAGTAGGAGCTGAGCAGGCAGAGCAGAGAGAGCCTCCCCCCAGAGAAGCTGCTGCAGAGAGGGGCCCACGAGAGAGACAGAGGGGGGGCGCACCGGGCCACCTGCACACAACACGCAAAATACACACCACTTGTGTTCATATGCATGTGTAATATGTCCATTATTGACACGAGTTCACTTCAAGTACGGACACACAAATGGTTCTTAAACTGTGCTCACGTGCCAAGAGAAATTACTCTTTTTTTACTTGATACATTTAGATCCGGTGGTTCACACAAAACTCAATATTTCAACATTCAAATCAGAAAAAAAACTGAGCTGATCAACGTCAGAGAAAAGCTACAAAAACATGTGCATAGGCCAATTTACAATGTTTAAACAAAAAGCCCAAAGCAACACCAACCTCACATCATGAACAAAAATACTCTTGGTATTTTACTCTGGAGAAGAACTCCACAGTACGAGCCAAACTGAACTCTTTATTTGATTTATGATGTTTAAAGATGTATTTTGGTGGGAACAAGACAGCTGTGTATTTCACTTCCTTTTAACTACATTTGAGCGTAAAAGTGTAAAAGAATCATTGAGAATCATGTGAACATGTTGTAAATGATGAAGAATTAGAGAGAAATCATCGAGGATTCAAAATGTCATCAAACTTTTCAATGATCTCTCACAAATATTCTTCATTATTTACAAACCAAGTTCAGATTTTATCATGAATGTAGATTATTATAATTATGTTTACGATATTAATTATTATTATTATTATTATTATTTTTTATTTTTTTTATTATTTTTTTTTACAAATATTAATGTTGTAGAACTGAAACTCATGATGTGTAAGAGTAAAATAAAAAAGTGGTTTGAGAATATGACTTACTGTGAATGATGAGCTGTGTTCCTCCTCTGAACGTCCACCACAGTGATACAAAGTGATGAAGAGGCCGTACAAAAACCTCTGCTCTGTTCTCCTCCACACACTGCTCTCAGCTCACTCACACAACACTCACACAAAGTCTGGATTCCACTGTTTTACTAATGACCACTTCCAAACCACCACCATGTCGACGTTTGTTATGAAGTTATTTACATAGTTTATATTTACACACACATTTTACTTTTATTATTTTTTTACATTATATGGAAACAAATCTGACAGCACCGAGTTTGACATTTTTAAGTGCAGATGTTGAAAACAGGAGTGCATGAACTTTATTAAATCCTAATCCTAAATTTTCTAACATCTTTGTCATGTTTGACACAGATTCCTCCACCTGTCAGAACTCCTGAATTCACCACTCCATCTGTGCCTGCACTTCCAGCCCCGGTGTAAGTGGGCCGGACTCGCTTGTCCACAGGAGAACGTCACAGGAGAATGACTGCAGGTGAGTGTGTCGATCGTGGCCAGCCTGGTCATTTCTTAAAATCATGTCCTGTTCACCCAAAAACTCCAGCTCATCAGTAGGAGTGGGAGGACTGGTGAGTGAGTCTCCGGTTTCCCACACTTCAGGTCCCTGCACTCCTCAAACTCTCCCCAACACACTCTTCCTCTGCAAACACTTAGAACAGAACACAGCTTCATGCACTAATCTTACTCAACAAGCACAAACTCCCTGTTGTTTATAAATCCTGAATGTTGTGAATAAATCCATGAATATATTCATCAGGGAAATGGGACAAATCTTTGTTTCAGAGTAAACACGCTTCAGTTTGTCCCTGAGTCTCTGAAAGTGGCTTTTATTTTTAGCTGCTCTTCATTTAATCTTTAAATTTTAAATTGACTCTGTCTCTGCGATGAATAATGTTGTTATTATTATGTATTTATTTTAATGTATTAATGTTATTAATTTTATTTTATCAAACACAATTAAAACTTAAAGAAAATGATCAGATAATGAATATGAGTGTTAAGTATCTGCAGCATCTGTGTCAAACTAAGTGAGTCTTTTTCACTGTGTGAACGGGAAGCTGTAACGCTGCTGACAGTAATAAACTCTTACATCTTCAGCCTCAAATCCAGTGATAGTCAGAGAATAATCAGATCCTGAACCACTTCCACTGAAACGACTGGAGATTCCAGAGTGACGATTTGTTGTGTCATATATGAGGAGCTTTGGAGGTTCAGTGCCTTTCTGGAGATACCAGTGCAGACAATTAGAAATACCTGTACTAGCCTGACACCTGAGAGTAACAGAGGCTCCTTTGTCCACAGCTGCAGCTTTAGGAGTCTGAGTCAGGCTGATTTCTCCTGAAGAACCTGAAAAACAGAAGAAGAGTTATTGAGACAGACCCCGCAGGTGTCCAGAGGAGCAGTGCTGTGACCCAGATGTCCTCACCCCGAACCAGGAGCCCCAGGGCCAGCAGGAACAGCTGCAGGGACATCAGGCTCATTGTGTTGTTGGTGTGGGAGTGGCTCTGAAGGGCCCGCACACACACTGAGCAGCACTGGGCTCTTAACGGCTGGAGCAGAGAGGCAGCACACACATATGCAAAGTCACACAGTCAGAGGAGACAGACACACACAGCTCACACTACTGCCCCTACCTACTACTGACCACTACTGACCACTACTACTAAACACTACTGAACACACTACTGCCTCCTACTGACCACTTCATGTCATTTTAGTTAGTTCTCCTTGTTAAATGAACACACTGTATCTATCAGACAAACAGTGATGTGTGGAGGTAAATTGATATTGAGTTCGTTCTCTCTTCAGTTTACAGCAGGGTCACTCAGGGGTCATTTTGAGGCCTCTTCTCTTCTTACTTCATGTCCATGACCTGACTAGAGTTTGCCAAAATGTGAACTCACTACGTCTTTATGTATGACACGTGTCTCGTCTTCACAGATGCTCAAAGTGTCCAAGAGTCTGCTCTTCCACTCTCTGCAGCTTTAGATGATTCACAAAACTGTCTGACTGATTCATGTCTTGGTCCTAGTAAAGATCTGACATGGAGGGAAGAAATAACAAATGTTGAGGAATTTAAATCCCTTGTGTGGTGCACCTTAAGTATATCACCACAGAGGTTTTTATTTATTTATTTTATTTATTTAGTTTGGTATTTGGTATAGTAATTCAATATATGTTTTTATTTTTGGTAAATTAATACTAAGTTTACATTTGAACCTGTTCACGTGTCATTGATAAGTACTGTACTGTAAGTATTTTTTTTTAATAAAGGATTAGAAATGTATTGGTGACACAGACCCTTTATGCCAGTCGTGCTGCCCCAGGTCGGGCTTAAAGGCAAAACTTCCTCTTTGCCCCAAACACAATCTGGACGTGAAAGGAAACGCTCTGTGTCTTCTTTTCATTTACTAATATTAAACCTTTCAGGTCAGAACACAGTAAAAATCAGCCACATATTACACTGTAAGGTCATGACTTAATGTTTTATCCGTATGTAATACTGTTAATATGTTTATTGGTCATTTTCTGCTTCTATTTGTGAGTTTTTGTGGTCAAGGTTTAGATCAGCAGTGCAAACACACGTGGTCTGAAACATGGTGATACCACATTAGATGCAGTGTACAGGTTTATTTCACTTTTAAAAGCAGCTGCATGCACTTTGTTTTGATTCTAGTATCTAAAACAAAGGACCTGTGAGTTCATGTGTTTGGCTTTTGAGACAGTTCAAAGAACATTTGCAAGTTAAAGGGACAATACAAGAAAAAACTCACACAGTGACCTTTGACCTTTTGACCAGACCCTAAAATGTTTCAGTGTCAGATCAGAGCAAAGCTGAGGCCTGCACATGTTCTTTCACTAGTTTTATTTTGACTGAAACAGAACCATAAAAACAAAACTACAGACCTGTAATGACTCGAATAGATATAAAAATAATAAATACAAGAAAGAAGGAAGAACAATGTGAATCAAATGTTTTGAAGTCAAATGTTCATGTGTTTTTATTTGTTACTTTAACATTTTTGAATGGAGTTACAGCTTCACATTGACTAACTGTTGCTCTTATACAGTTTTAGTATCAGTTTGAATTGACGCAGGTTAAACATCATCTTAGTTTGTGGATGAATTTTCTTTTTAATTCCATAAAGAATTACCTCCTCAACAACACGTGTTCTTATCCACTGCTTCCATCTTCCTATTAGAGATGATGACACTGTGTAAGTCTTTTAGCTGCATGTGTTTAAAAAGGCCACATCAGAAACCAGAGCTGAGCCTTTCAGGTGTACAGTTCTGGTAATCATATAACAGTGTTGTATTTAAAATGTCAGTATTTGTAATGACTCCCATAGAGCTGTTAGTTGTGTGTAATATGGTCACAGGGAGCAGTTGTATCAGAACAACAGTTTGTTTGTGTGCTGCTCGCTGTGGACCTCAGGCGTGTGCTTTTGCTTCTTTTGTGTCTCATTCTTAAATATTGACATTATTAAACAGTCCTGCACAAGAGTATTTTTGATTCACTAAATGAACAGTTTGTTGAAAGAAAATACTCATCCTCAGTCTTTTTCGGGGAATACGGCTGTTGATCGATGTGTAACTGCTGTTTGAATCAGGTTTCATAGTTTTTTTGTATTTTCAACTCAATGAATAATTTACCTCCCATTGTGAGACTCACTCGGGTGAGGCCTTTCAGCTGATCAGTCTTTTTGGAATGGATGGAGTTATGGAAACATTTTAAAGGTTCTTTTTTATCACACACTATCATATTAGTAAATTCATCATTAAATAATGAACACAGTATCTGCAGCGTCTGTGTCAAACTCAGTGAAGTGTGAACAGTTTCAGTTCAGTCTGAGGAGGTTTTTGTGAGTCTTTTTCTCTGTGTGATCAGTGAGCTGTAACTCTGCTGACAGTAATAAACTCCTGCATCTTCAGCCTCAAATCCACTGATGGTCAGAGAATAATCAGATCCTGAACCACTTCCACTGAAACCACCTGAGACTCAGAGTGACGACTAGTCCATGTTGCACCTGTATATTCTCTATTCACACTTACCAGAAGACGTTTGGAAACATGCAGATGAAGACTTCAGGTGTGTAGTTACCAATACTGGGCCATAGACTGTATAAAGAATATTTATATATACAGTCTGAGTTCTGGGCATGTGATAAAACCATGTCCATGTCACTTACAGGCTGCTGGTTGTAACTGTTAATTTTATAAAAGGAAAAGAAAAAGAAAAAAAAGAAAAGAAAGGAAAGAAAGATCACACTGACTTCTCGATGAAGAAAAGCACATGTGAAAATGTGAGCACATGTACAGTGCTGTTCCCTTTGAACCTCTCTGAGCTCCTCCATCCTCACACTCGTGCTGCAGCTCGTCCTGAGTGTGTGTAAGAGCAGACAGAAGCTCAGAGGGGACGGGGCCTTTGTCGTGGCACCACCAACACTGTGAATGAGCTGCTTCTGCACATTAGACAGGACTCTTCTCTCCCTCTTTACAAATCTCTTCTTAAAACACATTTGTTCACTTTGGTCCGTCACACACTTTGACATGGGACATTTGACCACTTTTTTTTTTTTTTTATTACATTCTGTTTTATACAGATGTTGTTTTTATTGTTTTCATGGTTATGTTTTGCTGCACTTTGCTCGACCTGTGTTGTGTTGTGTTTAAAGTGTGTTATGTGTTATAAATAAAGTTTGAGTTGCAAAGTTTAGGAACCACTCCAATAAGAAAATATAATATACACTGAGTGTTTATTCTGTTAATGATCAGTTGTGTAGCATGTGGAATGACTTTTCTTTTTTCTGTTCATTATGTTTTCTGTAAATTAAGTAAAAAAAATAAATAAATAAACAAAATAAAAATAATAATAATAATAATAATAATAATAATAGCAAAATAAATAAATAAAAAGAGTATAATTCTACTTTATTTTAAGAGTTTCATCTTACATACATTATTTCATGTTGACGACAGTGAGAGTGTTAAAAATACTAATATAAATATTTGACACCAGGAAACTTGTGTTATGTTACCTGACTGTTCAGTGTTTTGAAAATATTGTTTAATGGTGTTTTTTTTGTTATTGTTTTTTTTTTTTTCCCCCTAATAGTTTATGATCTGGACTTTTATGAGACAATGAACCCATGATTTATTTTTGTTTCTTACTGTTTGTTTTATGCTTGTTACATGACTTTATCCCTTCATTAGTTCAACATTTATTGTTTTCTGATAAAAATGTACAAAAAAACAAATGAAACAAAAGTACCTAAATTTATGTTAAAAATTACCTGAGTCTTTCTTTTCATTACACTGTGCAGCATGAGTTTACTGAAAGTGAGTCAGTTTCAGTTCAGTCTGAGGAGGTTTTTGTACGAGCCTTTTTCACTGTGTGAACACATTCTGTCTGTTGATGTAGTGATAACTCTTACAGTAAGTAATACACAGCAGAGTCTTCAGGATGAACTCCACTGATGGTCAGAGTGAAGCCAGACCCAGATCCACCGCCTGAAAACCGACTGGGGACACCTGACGCTCGAGTAGATGTATGATATATAAGAAGGACAGGTTTGTCTCCATCTCTCTGTTGGTACCAGGCTAAGTAGCTTGTAGAAGACACAGCTGGACTGACAGTACAGCGTATGTTGACGGTGTCCCCCAGGGCGGCCCTCACTGCTCCAGCCTGACTCACTGTCACCTGTCCTCTGGACTCTGAACACACAAACACAAAGCACCTGATGGTTTAGTCTGGTTGGTCTCAGAGGGACGGATGTGGACAGAGGACAGCAGTGGGACTCTCTGGACTTTACCTGTGAAGCAGCAGCAGAGGACAGTCCACATGAGGACGCACACCAAAGTCATGTTGGTGATGAGGAGGCCGTATGTGGCTTGTGTTGTCATGAAGGACAACTGCCAGTGCTCCAGAGTGCACCTCTCAGGACTATAAAGTGTCCCACTGGACCATGCAGCTGTTCATGCAAAGTGTTTGTCTATGGAAATGAGGCTCCCACACAAACATGGAGCACACTGAACAGCTGCAGGGTCTGTGTCATGACTGTATTCATACAGCACAGATACAGTACAGGAACATAGAATAAAATCATGCAATTGTAAATATGTAAAAAGTGAAAAACAGAATAAAAATTAATCAAAATGACCTAGTTTGAAACACAGCAGCAGAGTGAGAGTTTGTGATGGGAGTTGTCAGAGAGCTCCAGAGAATTGGGCCATAGTACATGAAGGCGCCCTCACCAGATCGGGGCTGTATTCATGACACTGTTCAAAGTTGTTGATTGGATGAACGGAGAGGTCTGAGTGGAGTGACTTCTAAAAGCATGTCACAGATGTAGGAAGGAGCCAAAGCATGTGGAGATTTAAAGAGCAATAATAACATCTGAAAATCACTTCTTTGTTTAACAGGCACCAGTGAAGTGACAATCAAATGGGTGTAATGTGCTCAAAGCGCTGAGTTTTGGTTCCAATTCTAGCAGCAGGATTTGGAATGAACTGGAGTTTGTTTAGTGAGTGATTATTAAGACAAACATAAAGTTCATTACAACAGTCGAATCCAAACAAAAACATGAACAACTTTCTCAACATCAGGTTTGAACAGGACACTTCTGACCTTACAAATATTATGGAAATGGATAAAAGTGATTTTACGAAGATTTAAAATGTGTTTCTTAAAATTAAGGTCAGAGTCAAATGTTACCCCTATTTTTTTTTTTTTTTTTTTTTGTAGTATGAGTAATCAAAAGATAAGGAGTGAAGTTGTGGGTTGAAGTTTTGCCCTTATCCTTTGAGCAAAGAACTAAAATGTCTGTCTCGCCATTCAGTTTATTTTAGGTTTAGTTTAGTTTGTTTTGTGATTTGAATGTCTTTCTTATTCTGTAAACCACTTTGAATGACTGTGTGGACAAACTGTTCTGTACAAATAAAGAACATTTGGGTTCATCCAGGTTTTGATGGTGGAGATCGAGTTTCAAAGGTTCAGATTGGAGAGACAGACACACAACTCACACTACTGACCCCTACTGCCCCATACTGACCACTACTGACCACTACTGACCACTACTGACCACTACTGACCACTACAGAGAGCAGAGCTGGAGCAGAGGCAGCACAAACACAAACTCACACAGTGACCTTTGAATTTTCCGACCACAAAAATGTTTGAGAGAAAAGCAAATCCTAAATTTGTAAAATAAATACTGATATAGAACCACATGAATGAACAGACACTGGTTCTGTTCTCACAATTTTAATATAAATAACAAAATAAATGAACAAACTAAACCTGAAGAATAAAGTGAATGTTTAGTAAAGATTATATTTTGAAAGAATTGTAATTTATAGGAAGAAATAAATATGAATAAAATGTATTTGATAAATGTGAATGTTGTGAATAACAGGGATGTGTTTCTGCTGCTTTCAGATTCAAAACAATGTTTGATCCAGTGAAAACAAATGAAACCAGATGAATCATTAATATTACTTTTCCAATGTCTGACAATATTATGAAAGTTAAATACTTTTTACAGGAAGATACTTTAGTTTTTGACTCCTGACCTAAATGTAAGTCAAATGTTTTCCAGACAAGTGCATAGACACACTGATATGACCTTTTGTTCATTTAGTCGTTGTATTGTGTGAACATTATATTTCCTCATTTTATCCTTTTTCTTGTGGAAAATTATCAATGAATAAATTATTAAAACAATGATCAAAAGCCTCGATGTCAATGAGGATGAAGTGAACACAGCTGCAGACCAACACTGTGTCCCTTTAAAGATCATTTCAAATCTTTCCTGTGGAGGACCTCAGGGAAGTGTTTTTGTCTCTTTCTAATTCATTGTTAAATGTCGAATATTTTATACATTTGTTATATTGAATAATTGAGTGTGTTAACAGTATATTTTCTTATTTTATCAGTTTTTTCTGTTGTGGACCCCAAGGAAGTGTTTTAGCCCCTTTTTAAGTCATTGTAAAAGGTCTAATATTTGTTATATTGAATCATGACGTGTATTAAAAATATTTGGCTTTACTCCAGAATTAGAAAGACACAGTCAATAGTATTACCTTGAACTGATGATTAAAATATAAGAAAAAAAAAGGAAAATAAATAAACTATATATAAAAATAAATAAATAAATAATATGTTGTTTTTTCGTTTGTTTGTTTTGTTTTTTTTTCCACATAGGAATTCTAACTGGAGTCCTATGTTTGCTTGTTCTTTATCTTCACATTTTTCACAGTTCGAGACTCTGAAGTTTTTCATTCTCCACAATCACTAACATGACTTTTGAACATGCAGTTTATTCACTCAAATGTTTGTAACATAATGGTGTAATTTAATAATGGTCACACCTATGTTGACTGTAAATTATTGTGTGTGTGTGTGTGTGTGTGTATGTGTGTGTGCGTGTGTGTGCATGTGTGTGTGTGTGTGTGTGTGTGTGTGTGTGTAAAAATAATTAAATAAATGCAAATAATTTAATTATAAAATAACATAATGAATTCCCTGTTCAGCCTGTTCTTAACTCTCATTATATTGCGTGTCACTGTGCAGTGTGAGTTTAGTGAAGTGTGAACAGTTTCAGTTCAGTCTGAGGAGGTTTTTGTACGAGTCTTTTTCACTGTGTGAATCGGTGAGCTGTAACACTGCTGACAGTAATAAACTCCTGCATCTTCAGCCTCAAATCCACTGATGGTCAAAGAATAATCAGATCCAGAACCACTTCCACTGAAACGACTGGAGACTCCAGAGTGACGAGAAGTAGCAGCATATATCAGGAGCTTTGGAGATTCTGTGCCTTTCTGGAGATACCAGGCGAGATTATTCCCTACATTTGAACTGGTCTGACACCTGAGAGTAACAGAGGCTCCTTTGTCCACAGCTGCAGCTTTAGGAGTCTGAGTCAGGCTGATTTCTCCTGAAGAACCTGAAAAACAGAAGAAGGGTTATTGAGACAGACCCCGCAGGTGTCCAGAGGAGCAGTGCTGTGACCCAGATGTCCTCACCCCGAACCAGGAGCCCCAGGGCCAGCAGGAACAGCTGCAGGGACATCAGGCTCATTGTGTTGTTGGTGTGGGAGTGGCTCTGAAGGGCCCGCACACACACTGAGCAGCACTGGGCTCTTAACGGCTGGAGCAGAGAGGCAGCACACATATGCAAAGTCACACAGTCAGAGGAGACAGACACACAGCTCACACTACTGCCCCCTACTGACCACTACTACTGACCACTACTGACCAATACTGAACACTACTGAAGTCCACACGAAAATGTCTAAACACAGACCTTAAAAAGAAGGTGACTAAGAGAGTGAGACGTCACATTGAAAACAATAAACACAATTAAAAGTGAACAGTTGAAGTAGGACAGTGCAGTTATGGTTGTGTGGTGGAGTGAATAGGCCAGTCTAAATAGGTGTGTTCTGAGTTTGGATTTGAAATGTGGGAGTGAGTGAGTGTTGTGGAGATCTGGGGGAAGAGTGTTCCAGAGCTGAGGAGCAGAGCAACTGTAGGCTCTGCTCTCCCATGGTGAGGAGATGGACAGAGGGAACATAGAGCTGGAGAAAGAGGAGGAGCAGAGGGAACTGTTGTAAGGGGTGAATTGTGTGAACATTATATTTCCTCATTTTATCCTTTTTCTTGTGGACAATTATCAGTGAATAATTGATTAAAACAATTATCAAAAGCCTCGATCTCAATGAGGATGAAGTGAACACAGCTGCAGACCAACACTGTGTCCCTTTAAAGATCATTTCAAATCTTTCCTGTGGAGGACCTCAGGGAAGTGTTTTTGTCTCTTTCTAATTCATTGTTAAATGTCTAATATTTTATACATTTGTTATATTGAATAACTGAGTGTGTTGAAAATGTGACTTTACACCAGGACTAGTAAAACACATGTATTAATATAACTTGAACTGACAATAAAATTATAAATCAAATGATAGTTTTAAGTGTTTAATTCCACAAAGACATTTATACTTCACTCTTATTTTAACTTGTTTTTCAGTTTAAATGTGTAAATGTGAGCTGTTTGTCAGTTGTTTATCAGTCTCTGTACAGCTGAATGGTTTTGTGGTGTTCTCTGAGGAGCTGCAGGTTTTTGTACGACCACTCCATGAGTTTGTATCACTGTGGTGGACGTTCGGTGGAGGAACCAGACTGGAGCTCAACTGTAAGTCATCTCTTTATGTTCACTTTAAATGACACTTTGGTTTAGTTTGTGATTCATCTGTTTCTATTTCTGAAGCCTGACATCATTTGATTGTTTTCTGTTTTATTCTAAATACTGTTTGGAGTTCTGGGTGAGCAGTGTCTTCTTATCATCCCCACAGTCACTCACCTCAATTTATGCATAAATATTTTATTCCCACTGTAACTTATTAAAATTTATGGTTTTAGCGGGGAAAAAGTTAATATTTATTAAATTTTTCTGTTCAGAATTTTTGTTTTTAAATTGTCGTAACACAGAAACATTTATTTATTTATTTATTTATTTATTTATTTATTTTGTATGTAATTATAGTAATGTCGATATTAAAAAAAAAAAAAAAAAAAAAAAAAAGTTGTTATGGACTT